ACCCGGTCGGCCAACTTTTTCTGGTTGTGCAGCCGATACAGGGGCTGATCGGCGGGAAACACGTCCCGCAGAGCGTTGGCTAACGGCTCGTAACGGACCACTCCGTAGCCATCGGTGTCCGGCAGTCGTTGGACGTGAAAACACCAGTACTGGTGATTTGACTCGTCATCGGCGGTGGCCGGGGGTTTGGCCAGCAGTACGTAATGCCTGACACAGCCGTACATTATCTCGAGTATATCTCCGGCGACTACTGTCCCAACAATGGTGTGGTAGTCGACAAACCTGGACTTGTTTTTGGCCCATTTGTGCTGACTTTGTCCGCAACTGTTCAGACAATAGGCGGCCTTTTTGCGTAACTTTTTGGTCACATTCGCACCCATGTTATGTCTATGGGAAATGAGTTTTCTCTCTTTGGCTTGTGTTGCGGTTGTGATTAACAATGAGATTAACCAATCATTGCCTCAATTGCGAGACTAATCGGCAATTTTGGCAATGAATTAGCAGTAAATTATACATCGATTCGTACTTTCACTGAAACACACACTCATTTACATTGAGAGCAAAGGTTTTTATACATAGGCTTAACGACACGAATGATATGAACATATTTTGATGAAAAAGTCTATTTGAAGCGATATTTCTTATGAATAAAACTTTATTTCTTTGTATTCAATGTTATATTTCTCGAGTCAGTAGTGAATGAGTGGAGAAATTATCAGTAAATTTCTCATTGAAAGTAATCACTGAATATAAGTTTCGTATGAAAGGAAATGCACTGTTATTACACTCGCTATCCATAGGACTCATGTTATAGATTGTATACATTAGTTGTATTTAAACGCAAGTGTAAATTGTTTGGCAAAAGTGAAATTATTTTAAAAAAACTTTCACCTGAAAAAACAATCTCAATAAAACAACACAATCACAACACATAGACTAAAACAAATTAGTAGTTTTGTAAGTAATTATGCGTTTAACTACCTGTGCTGTGTTGACTACACCTGTGTATATACAGACACATACAGGTATATACAAGGAGACCGTATAACTAACCTAATTATCAATCAATTGTCTTTACAAAAACATATATAAATTATTATTATTATTAATTACAATAGAAATACCGTATAAATAGTGTGACTAATATAGAGATATAGAAATGCGGAGAAAAAGCAACTATGTCTTGACATTCAGGCATTTGATTATTATATTTAGTTGTGATAAGACTTAAACAAATACTAAAATACTTATACTTTGTGTACTCACAACATATTCCGGTTATAATTGCCATATTATAGGTATTTTAATCCAAATATATGATAAAAATGTAACAAAAAATACATCCAAAAACAACTCACAAAAATTCTTATCACTAACTGATAAAATACCTGTTAAAGTAATGTAACCAGGGGTAGTCAAGTATCACTAATATATATTTCAATTTTAAAATGTGTTTATTTTTTATTTGCTTAATTAATATAATTATTGCAAAGTTTGCGTGACTTTTAAAATTGAAATTTTACCTTAAAATTTACTTTTTAATGCAAAAAACTTATTTGAAATCTCATTTAAAAAGCCATTTCACAGTCCATTTCCACCTAACCCTCTGTTAGGCGCCGTCCCATTAAAATCTGTCAATTTTCACGGCTCTGACATGTAATTCAAACGTCAATAAACGTCTGTAATCACCAAATATGTCAATATTTAGTTAAAATAGTTACGAGAAAAGATACACTATTTGTGTTTTTTATCAAACATTTCAAACAAATATAAAACAACATGTCATTCAAGTAAAAAACATACAACACTTTCCATACATTAACGCAGGGATTAACACCAGAATCTCGTATAACATGTCATATAACAGAATCTCACATGAAATACAATACACTGTAGAAAAAAATTCCAACTCTCGGTGCCATTGAAGGACATCCCAGAGCCCATAATCAACCGTATATTTTACAACTAATAATCACTTGAAATACGATTGCCATCATTACAGGAATACTCAGTTCAGGTGACATTCCGGGAGCAGTGGAATGACAACCGACTTCAGTTCGATGATATGCAGGGAAAGATCCAGTATTTGGTGTTAACGGATCCAAATAGGATCTGGAAACCCGACCTCTTTTTTTCCAACGAGAAGAAGGGCCACTTTCACGAGATAATTATGCCAAACGTTTTGCTCCGTATTTATCCCAATGGGAACGTCTTGTTTTCTATTCGCATCTCATTAGGTAATTAAATTTTAATTAAATTTATGAAAGAGAGAGAGAGAGAGAGAGAGAGAGAGAGAGAGAGAGAATTAAATGATTGATTAATCTAACATTTTCACCCTGGTAATAGTACTCTCATGTCCAATGGATCTCAAATACTACCCGTTAGACCGGCAAACCTGCTCTATACAAATGGCCAGTTGTGAGTATCGGCTGTTATTCTTATAAACTATTTGAAAGATAATAACAAATTGCAAATTAAAACTCAATGTATAGACGGCTATACGACCGACGACTTGGTATTTATGTGGAAAGAGGGCGATCCGGTACAAGTGACCAAGAGTCTCAATTTGCCACGATTTACGCTACAAAAATATCTCACCAAATACTGCACAAGTAGAACCAATACAGGTAAATTACACGCCAATTAATCACCATCATTATTTTAAAAGTATCACGCAACAATTAACAACAAATACAAACAAACCTAATTGTTATCAATACAGGCGAATACAGTTGCCTGAAAGTGGACCTACTGTTCAAACGGGAGTTCTCCTACTATTTGATCCAGATCTACATCCCGTGCGCCATGCTCATATTTGTCTCGTGGGTGTCCTTCTGGTTGGACCCGAACGCCACAGTGGCCCGGGTGTCGCTCGGCGTGACCACACTGTTGTCAATGGCCACACAGATATCGGGTATCAACGCCTCGCAGCCGCCCGTCTCGTACACCAAAGCCATAGACGTGTGGACGGGAGCGTGTTTGACGTTCGTGTTCGGGGCGTTGTTGGAGTTCGCCCTGGTCAATTACGCCTCCCGCAGCGATGTCCATCAGGCGGCCGCCAAACAGCAGCAACAGATACAGCAACGACAGGCCAAATGGGCGGTCGAGCACAACATCGAGGACGGCACCGGTCGCACCGATGAGGGCACTTATGGCCTGGTATGTACAGTAGAGTTGATTACGGTTTGATTAGTGAAATTGTTTTTGTAATTTTATTTATACGTTAGTGCATAGTGAAATATTATTAGTTACCAAACTATGATGATAATTTTGATCACTTGTATTATGTATGTTTGCCATTCACACAGCGGGGCGACGGCTACCGGAGCTGCGAAATACACGCCAAACCCCATAAGCGTCGGAATTGGTGTAAGAGATGGCTCTCGAAATTTCCGACCCGTTCTAAGCGTATTGATATCATCTCAAGAATATTCTTCCCCTTTGCGTTTGCGTTATTTAATTTGGTTTATTGGACCACATATTTGTTTAGGGATGATCTCCAAACGCCTATTAAATAGGTGTTAAATACTATACTTTTACTTATGTTTTTGTTTGACCATGGTGTTTTTTGTTTCCATTGTATTTTTCACGCGCTATTTTAGTTGTCATTTTAGTCAAGTGTAGTTTTATGTAATCATTTTTCTAGTTGTTTAATAATGTTAAATTCCTCTCTCTCTCTCTCTCTCATAATTACCTAATGAGATGCGAATAGAAAACAAGACGTTCCCATTGGGATAAATACGG